GTAGTTGTCATTCTCAAGCATACTCTCAGGAACGTATTGATAATATGGTAGATGGTTTGTTTGTAGAAGTCCAAGTTTAAAAGCTATCTTTTGATGGAGGATTTTCTCTACTAAGTCATGCCGTTCCTTATATTTAGTTGCAGCAAATGCCTGACAGCCCCAGGTAAGATGTTGGATAGTTTCTTGGACTTGACATCTATATCTGCATTTGTCGTTTTGGACCTGAGGGTCTTTGACGATATATTTCAGGTAATTTTTGCTTGGTATAACCTGATCCTGAATAGCAAGTAATGAACCTTTTGTTTCAGGGAGCATCTTTCCTGATACCAGCCAATAGTTCAAAGCTATATTGTCGACATAGTCTTGACTGACTTCATTTGAATATCGTCCGTGTAGAGGTTTACCCATCCAGATGCGCATTTTTTCATTCTTAGTAAGATGGTCTATGCGCATTTCTTGTCCCCTCAGTTTAATTGGTGTTGTATCATCTACTGCACAACTGGCGCAATGAAGAGTAGATGTCTCCGCCTGCACCTGAAAATAAGTTCTTAAATTAATAATCTCTTTTCTAATTATTCACTTATGGATATAAGTCCTCGTCCTCCTAAATACCGCGCTAATGTCGTTCTTTCTACTGCACTTCGAGGGTGGTGTTTTTGTGCCTTTGTGAGGTGTGTTATTATTATTATTATTATTAAGTTTTTTAAATAATACAAAACCTGAAATTAACGCTCACAACACAATTAACGCTTTTAACTGCTCAACTGTTAAAAAATTACGCCCTTACGCCGTTCATTAGTAATAATTGCCATCATTACTTGCAATATCAAAATTTTATCTCTGAATCTTAGTAAAATGTCAAGTGCTGAATACACACCGGCACTATCTCTTGTTAATATTGGCATCGGCGATGGGACGTAGCTTTACTGCAACTACGTGACTAGAAATTAAAAGTTTATTTCATTAGCGAAGAATTTACAAGAGGATTTTCTGCTGTAATAAACTAAAACAGTATTCATTTCGAAGCAGATTATGGAGGTTTAGTTCAATTTGTTCGGAATGTGTCTGTAAATAGTAAATAGGAAATACGATGTAATTGCAGTTTATGCTTCAATAAGTCGTATTAAAATTGACGCTTTTTATAGCATTTTATTGCAATATGTTGATAAAATAGAGGTACGTGAATATTTACAGTACTAATTGTGTCGTTCATTGTAAAAGTGGTGTCCATCAAATTGAATTTGTAGATATTTTGACATTTGCAAATTGATGTACAGGAAAAAAAATAAAAGTCGTTATTGAGTTATTTACGTTATTTATTGTTCACTACAAGATCAAGTTTCTAATCATAAGTATAAAACGAAAAAAATATATTGAATTCTGTGATAAAAATAGGAAAAAAAAATTTTTTGGAGTTACTTCACTGTTATTGTGAGCTAATCGTACATAATTTCATCATCAGATGAACGTTCACTAGAATTACCGCTGTTTGACCGCGTTGGTATATCGGTAGGAAGATTTTTATAATACGAGTGATAAATCGGTGGAATATACGGTAAGAGGTCTTTCATATCTTTCTTTTTTGCGCTGGTTATGGGACGTTTTGAGGTATACAGTGGCATTTGTATAATATTGTTTAACTGAACCTCAGGTCCTTGCTTCTTTTTAGTTAAATCTACAACGTAAAATGGGGTGTCAGGATTAAGGGTTTCTTTAAATTTAAACTGTAATGGATGATTTCTTTCAAATCTTATCCATCTAATATTAAGCCAGCTGAACTCATAACCACATGTCGTTTTCTTTCTATTTATAATGGAATTTTCCAAGGTAACTGTACTAAAAAAATCACAGTTTTTCATTTTCGTCACGCAAAAATGTGGCTGTTTGCGTTTTGCGTTTTTTATGAAGTCTATCCATTGATCTGCACTGAAAATTTGTTGTTGATGACGACTAGCGGTTTCAATGACTCCAAATTCCCCATCGTTGGGTAAAAACGAATATCCTGACACTAAAAATGTATGGTCTATTGTGTTTATACTGAGAATAGGTTCTTGTACAAGCTTTAAAAGAGAAAGGGCCATCTTGATGTTTCTATTCTGTCCAGTACAAGAATCAGAGTACATTATGACATGGTTTTGTGTAGCTGCATGAATTTTTAAAAGCTTTACAAGACATGATGAAATGTCTTGAGAGCCCCTTCCGCCTTCAATTTCATCCCAGACAAACATGTAGCCTACATCGTCATTGAAACAATGTATACCGAAGTTATAAACATAAAGATTTCTTTTATAGTATGCTACAGAAGTACTACGTTTGGGGAAGGGTAAGGCTTTCTGTAGATCAAAAGTTAGAATGTATGCTTCATTAGTTCTTTTTGAATCATTTTTCAGACTTTCTCTTGCTGCTTCTGCCTTTCGTTGGTGAACTTCTCTTTGTATTTCAAATCCCTTTCTATCATTTTCATCGCCAGCTCCCTGTATCTTTAAATTAAGGTCATCACAAGTTTTGTCAGTGTCTTGGTGTGGCATTTTAAAATGTAAATTAAATTTTGTGTTGAAAACTTTATTATAATATTTTAATTTCTTAGGTTCTGTCATATTAATATCACATTTTTCTTTGTAAAGATCATACATATTTTGTATTGTTAGTCCTGGATTTAAATACGTTCTACGGGGGTTATTTTTCCTCGTGTAATGGCTTTGATAGGAAGGAAAACTTTCGATGTGAGCTACAATGTCAGAATCATCAAGTTTTCTGGAACTTGTTGTGCCTCGTTTATCAGTACATTGGAACACATCATCCTTTGAAAGGCAACGATACAGTCTGCCATCACTGATTTGAAATGTTTTTAAAAAATATTTCTTACACACAGATCGGGTTTCATTACTTGACTTAACAAAATATTTGAAATGAAAATTTTTTGCTGCTCGTGAACTATTTAGTGGACGTTTTCTTTTGACTGCTGATTTTTGTACCAATGCATACAGATATGAATTTTGAAGATCATAATTTTTTAAATTCCAAAAAGAGTCAAATATTTCTTTTCTTTCATCCTCTGTCAACAGCGTTAAACATTTCTTTGGACATCCACAATCAATATTTTCAAATTTTTTCTGATTTTTTATTATACCTCTTTTAGTTAAATACTCTTTACCGCTATTTCTTAACATTTTTCTTTTGTTGACTGCCCAATTTTCTTTATTAAGTGATCTTTTTCTAGCCTTAGCTGGTACAGGGTCTGCCTGAAGATTTTGCTGGTCATTATTATCATTTATATTTTCGTCATGACTTGAATCTGTACCTAAAACAAGGAGACAACGCATTTAAAAGGTTGAGCAAGTATAGTTAGTTATAAAACTCAAAAAATAAACAAAATAGTTCCGTATTAGGCAATCCAGATCACGTAACCTCTGGTTGGCAAACAAAGGTTATTTTTGTGATTTTCCTAATAACTATACGTTATTTATCCTGTATGAATATTATTCGCTTCATTTTTAGAATTTTTATTGTATGTAGTTCAATAATATGCTTAAACCAAATGCTAAGGAAATTATTATTAGAAGCACCAGATGTTGGACAAAAACAAGCAAAATAATATTTGTTTATTGTTGCTTTTCAAACAATGAATAAAACATATCTTTAAAACACTAAAAAACATTAACAAAAACAAGTAGATAAAGTTACGGACAGTTTTGTTGGTTTTGTGTGCCAACCAAATACAATGTTTAACAGGTCAATGGATTGCCTAATTCTTATTAATAACTTATATTTTAAGGTTATAAAAATAACTAAATGAACAACAACGAAACTTACCGGAAGTACTATTATTTTCTTCATTTGAAGGGTGATATTCGGAATCAGAATTACTAAAATCATCTGTATCTATCATTATATGCTATTATAATTCGTTTTGAAGCAGTAAATATAAATTAATCAACGAAATGATACAATATGTAACATAACCTCTTGCAATTTTGCCACAATAAAAGTGAAGTATCTCCGGACTTACTTCATTATTATTGCGACTTGGGATTTACTTCACTTTTATAATGACATATTTACAGTTTAAGCTCTCGAACAAAACTAGTAACCCCATCTACATGTTGAAGGAGTAAGTTTTGGAGATGATTCGCTTTTATATTGAAAGATTATACTAAACGTGGTTGAATGATAGGTACAATAAAACAGTAAATAACAAAATATGGAGTTACACCACTTTTACAATGAACGACACAATTAATAAAACGGTTGGTTCGTATAATGTAGCCAGAAACAGTAGAAGGTCGTCTATGGTGATATTTTACGTGGTCTTGAAAGTTGCTGGGATCAACGCACAGGCCAATCAAGTGCTAAACCAAAATTTAAAAATAAGCCGTAGACTCTCCTTTTAAAACCTTTCAAGTCAATTATGGTTAGAGCAAATAAAACGGCGATCGAATATTACGACAGATATTCACAGGCAATTGCTGCTACAGCTTTAGAAAGATAAGGAGGAAAGTTCAACTAGTGGGGCAGATCCAAATGTTGCTAAAACGGGCAATAAAAAAAATGTGTTTTGCTTGCTATGCCACAAAGATGACGGGGTTGTCCAAATACTATTGTAAATATTGTACCACATTTTTAGGTCTTTAGCAAAGAAATATTGTTTTTAACAGTTGTTATAACCGTTCTACTAATTCTTCCACTGATGACTCTTATTAAGTTTAGCCAAATCTAATTATGTGTTTGGGTTATTTTAACCTTAGATTAATGACAATAATATTAGTTATTACATTTTTATTTTGTTATGTTCTTGATACTGTATTTACTTTATTTTTTCTTGACAATAAATTAATTTAAATCCGCTCATTTTTCAGTTCAGTTTTTTTTCGATCATTTTTTTTAATCTTATTGAATCGTTAAACTTATACGAATGTATCTCTGAGATACATCGCGACCTAGACAGTACCTACACTTTATGACCGCGAACACCGACGGGTTAAGATAAATTTAAAACAAACTAAAAGAAAATAAATTTTATTTCTTAATTTTTAAAAATACAATCAGTAACTTCAACGTCAAGCTTGTACCTAACCATAACATTCAGAACTGTCATCCAAAATGCATCTAGACTCGTATACTTTCTTAACATAATCCGCAGATTTTTTGGCAGTTCTAGTCCTATTAGGGCTGCTAAAATCCACTTCAAAAAGTCCATATTTTGTTCTAAAAATTTAAAAAGATTCAGTCATAAATTGCAATGGTAGATTTTTCGATTACTACATGGCTTAACAAAAAAAAAACAAAGTTTGTTGATCTTAAAACTTTATTAGGATATTTTAAGTTTTATAAATGTTAAACGAAATTACAGTTAAACAGGTTTTAATGCCAAATTTAAACTAGTACATTCTGTCAGCCAGCAAATCATTGCGATCTGCTGACGACATACTCATCCAAATAACATTAATGAAGGAACCAAAGGTTTTTTTCAGAACTTCTTCTTCTTTTGGCATCATAACCCTGGATGGGTCTTTGCCTGTCTGACTATGTCCTTCCATTCAGATCTTTCTTGTGCCCTTCTTCTCCTTTGTCTTATGTTCATTGTTTTCAGGTCGTCTTCTACGTCATCCAACCGTCTTGTTCTGCGCATTCCTTTTTTCGCCTTTCTTTGGGCTTCCATTGTAACATTTTCTTTATTGTTTTTGCATCGTTTTATCTCTGCACATGTCCCAGCCATGACAGTCTTTGACTTTTCACAAATCTTACAATATCACACCCTTTATTTAACTCAATAACCTCGTCGTTTCTCCTAATTCTCCATGTGCCATCTTCCTCTTGTACCGGACCATATACTTTTCTCAGTATTTTTTTCTCGAATGTCGTGAGTTGGGCTTCATATTTTTTCGTCATTACCCAAGTTTCACATCCATAGGTTACTACGGGTCTAATCAGTGTTCTGTAGATAGTCATTTTGATTATTTTGTCAAATAATTTCGATGTCATCAATCTTTTATTAGCATAGTAAGTACGATTCCCGCTGGAAATACGTGCATTAATTTCGCTAGTTACGGAGTTCTTCTGATTAATTTCTGTGTCGAGATATGTAAAGGCATCCACTCGTTCGATAGTATAGTTGTCTATTGTGATATTATTTTCATTGTCAGTTATTCTTTTGACTCTCATATATGTACTTCGTTTTTGCTTTGTTTATTTTGAGACCTCTTTTTCTTGCTTTATAATAAGTCGTGGCTTATTCCTACTAATAATGGCTACATCGTCTGCATATGCAGTAATTTGTACTGATTTGGTGTTTATATGGCCGGTTATATATTTTTTCTGATGACTGCCTCAAGAACTAGGTTGAATAGCATGGTTGATAGGGCATCTCCCTTTCTTACTTCCATGTTGATGTTAAACAGGGGAGTCAGTTTTCCATCTACTCTGATTGCGGTTTTTGAACCCTGCAACATCATTTTTATGAGGCTGATGTATTTCTTAGGTATACCTAGATTACAAAGGTCTTCCAGCATTCTGTCTCTTTTCGCAGTATCAAAAGTTTGTTTAAAGTCTATAGACATATTATATAGGTCTATGTCATATTCATAAGCTTTTTCTTGTATCGTTCTTAGTATATATATGTTATTTGTAGTGGCTCTATTTGGTCTGAATCCAAATTTTCTTCAGAACTACACGACTAAAAACCTTTAATGGAAAATTTAAATTTGCCAAATAAACATAGAAAACAGTAGCTTTACAAAATGCCAATAACTAGAGAAACAACTGACAAATTATGAAATTAACGTTGTAGCCATACAGGAAATCCATATTAAGAACGCAGATCAACTTTATCGTAGAAGGTAGAATAGCAGGATATATCCTACTAGGCACAACATACCATCATACATATGGAGTATTCACATAATATGTAACATCTCATGTAGAAAATGCACGCTTGTACTCCTCCGCAACTAAAGATAATATGCATAGTAGTGACAAAATAGGCGAAATAGACCTCTTCATGTTATGAAATTGCGCTCAGATCCAGAAGTCTACTTTGACCAGCAATGACTTTAACAGCTAATAATCAATGAAAGTATAAAAAAAATCATAATAACCTAAGTTAATCTGGTTGAATTGATAAATAAACACGACGTATACCTCCCATTTAATCCTAAGAAACAAGACTAATTTGAATCAGCTTCTTGGTAACCAGAATGATACTAATATGTGTTTTCTCCAAACCAACAAAAAAACTGGCTGAATTTTTTCTTAGAACTTTTAAGCTCGTGTTATCTTTAATCGCTTGTTGGATTTGTTTGGAATATCTGTACCAATAGATTTTTGTAGTATGTTTTAAATATCATTAAGTTTGTTGTGTTCTTTGCTCCCATTATTTTGCATTTTTCTTCTTTTTTACTAATCCTTGTGTTTAAAAACTTATTCTCATATTGTATGGTTTCTTTTGGCAGTGTAAGGCACTGCTATTACCCGCACCACTGCTTTTTAGCTTTTACGTCGTAGATATGCCCGCAACAACATCAACAAAGTTTGGCTATACTGATGACTGGAGTTTATTAACCAAAGCAAAGTCACTATACGAAGCTGAAGAGATTCTTACGGAAAACCTAGAGGTTAATGGGAAATTACTTTCAAAACTGGAGACTTTACTCCAATGCCTCCAAGACCGAAGTAACCTGCTTCCACCTGAACAACAATCTGACGTCAAGAACCCTTAACGTTCACTTTGATAACACACGACTTAACCACAACAAACGTCCAAAATATCTAGGCGTGGCTTTGGACAGAAAGTTAAGCTTTCTGTTGATCTGCAGTCTTCTTCACTTGTAGATAGGTATTCTGTTTTTGCGGATATTTTCTGTTATCCCAATATCGAGATGTTAAAACCAAACCAGCTAAACTGGATATTTAAACTAATAAATTGGATTTCTAACTTCTTAACTTTAACACGAATTGGTCAGATAGAAATCTTCTCCGAAGATTTAGTGGCGGTTCACATATTTCTGTTTCCATAAGATCTACAGGCGAACTTCCCAAGTATCCAATACTAAGTCGAGGACATTAATTTTTTATTATCTATTTTTATAAGATTTGTTTAGAATAGACAGATAGAACTGATAAATTTTTATATCTGTGTTAGGCCACCTTATTATCAAAAAATCATATTAATTAAAAGACAAATGAAGAGACTTAATGAAATAATTTATTTAAGTAACTTACGTGAAGCCGCTTAACCATTCAAAATTGTCCATCAGACTCCAAAATGTATAACCAAAAACTTGAACTCCTTCATCCATTGCGTCTCGTAACTTACTAAGATGTCGCTAGAAGTTTTTAAAATTAATGATAAATATGTACTGGGTGGCCAACTCAGAAAAGTTTTGGCCATATCTTGGAAATCAATTACTGTACGATTGGTATTTTTGTTGTTCGTGAATTTGTGAGGTAAAAATATCAAATTATTAGTTTATCAATAGTTCAAAAATAGTTTATCGCCAAGTTGGACCAACAAACACACTTTCATAAAATTTGTTGCAATCAGTTGCGTGGTTTTTGAATATTAGTTTGGACAAACTAATATTCACACAAGACTTTTATATATTATAAAGATATGAAATAGTCACCTAATCAACGTGGCAGAATAGTTAGAATAGCCTAAGATAAATATAGATATAAAAACTCTATAACCTTAGTTAAAACTTATTCTGGAGCAGAACTCAGATCACAATTCGTTAGTTGCTGACGTGAAAATAAAATTAAAAAGAATTAAACTCAGAAAACAACAACCAAAAATTAATGTAACAATGCTAAAAATATGAAGAAATAAAAAACGAATTAAAAAATAATGTGAATGTTAATATGAAAAAACACTAACTGACAACAAACAAATAATGGATGTAAATAAAAAGTGGTAGAATATAAAAAACACCACACAAAGGCTAAAAAACAGTGAATGGCAGAAGAAATAATATTATAAATAGAAGACAGAAGGAAATTTAAAGGAAAAGATCTACAGAAGTATAAATGTATAAAACGATTAATTAAGGAAAAAATTAAAACAGCTAAGGAAACTTTTTGATGAAACAATGTAAGGAGATAGAAGAACTAGTAACAAAATATGATATGAGAAATATGCACAAAAAATAACAGAAGTGACTGGAATAAATTGAAATAGACAGCAAGGACACATAAAAGACAAAGAACGAATACATTTACCAAAGGAATTAAGACGATGGAAGGAGAAATTAAATCCTTTAGAGAGACAGAACATCACGATAGATGAAATCAGATATGCTATCAAGAACGTTAAAGACAGTGAGGCAGAATTAGATCAAATACCAGTAGAACTGTTATAACTAGTGGAAGAGGATAAGTTGAAAGTATTGGTAGATTTATTCAACACGGTGTGCGATACGGGAATAATACCACAAGAGTATCTGAAGTCAGCATTTATAACCATCCCTGAAAAACAAGCAGCAAAAGAGTGCTCTGATTATCGAACACTAAGCCGCATGAGTCATACTTTAAAAGTACTGCTGAAACTAATACATAAGAGAATATACGAAAGGCTAGAGGAGAATATTAGAAAGACGTAGTTCGAATTGATGTAAACGTTGATCTATACTTGTGCTTTGTTGACTACGACAAAGACATAAAAAACTAATATCAATACTTACGAATAAGCTCATTGACAGTAAAATCATAAATATAGTGCAAACATTATATTGGAACCAAAGTACCATAGTTTTAATTGATGGGCAATACTCAGAAGAAATGAAGATCTCTAGGGGAGTTAGAGAGGGATGTGTTTTATCGCCACTTTTGTTTAACTTCTATTCTGAAGAAATTTTTTAAAACACGCTCAATAATATAAAAGAGAGTTACCGTTAACCGAAAATTAATTAACAACTTACGATATGCAGACGATAATGTGGTCATAGACGCTAGAAAAAGCGAATTACATGCTAATTACAAAAAGGCCACAAAATATACATCGCCTATTGACAATCAATGGTAACGTGATAGATCGAGTAGAAAAATATCAGTACTGGGGAACTTTGATCAATGAAACTCATGGTCATACTTCAGAAATAAATAGACCAATAGAGATTGCCAGATCAGTATTTATACGAATGAAGCCACTCCTAATGTGCAAAAATCTAAATTTGAAGATCAGACTACGTACCATTCGCTGTTATATATTTTCAATATTATTATATGCAGCTGAGACTTGGCAATTTAAAAAGAATCAAGGCTTTCGAACTCTGGTTACATAGCAGAGTATTAAAAATATCATGGACTGATAGAATCACAAATAAAGAAGTACTAGAGAGGGTTTGTAAAGAAACAGAACTAATCACCACTACACAAACCAGAAAACTGGAATACCTAGGCCACGTGATCATGGGACCAAAATATAAAATTTTGAGACTCATAACACAGGGAAAGGTTCAAGGAAGAAGATTTGTTGGTCGAAGATCGATTGATTTGTTTAGAGCAGCAAGTTCAAAAATTACCTGGATATAACTGATTCGTTTATCATCATCTAATGATTCCCCTTTATCTGGATAGCCATTTTCAGTGATTATAATTGAGACGTTGTTATAATTGTTAGAAATCCATTTTACAAGTTTATACAAGCCATCTGGGTAGACCTGGAATATAAATTTTTTAGCAAATATGTCAGCTAATACTTTTATTTATTTTATGTTCATCTTTTGCAAAATGACCCTTGATTGCAAAATTATTACGCAAAAAATGATCCTAGCAAAATTTAGGACAAGTTCTAGCCGTATTATAAAGTGTTTTAGTCAGAATATAAAAGCTTCAAATTATGTTTAATATATCGAAAAAAATTAAAGAAAAAATATATTTTTGTGGCATTTTTTTTTTCAAAAATATGAGCTTAAAAATAAAAATTATTAGATTTTTTTAGATTTTGTTAAAGAAAAAATTTTGCCACTGGCACATATCCTGAATGATACAGACGAGAAAAAATATAGTCACACAAAACATTATACAAAACAAAGTGATTTCCGAATTTTTTCTTGTTTCGAAACAATTTCTGCCAAACAAAAATTTCACCTAGAACCCTTCTGATTTATTTAAACAACATAAATTTTTGAACAAGAATCCGTGAAGAAACCGAATCGAAAACATTGTTTTTACAGGAGCGGTCTCACAACACAGCAAAAAAATAGACCCATTTGGAAAATGTCCATTATGGTCTGCTTGTTGACAGATCTCACTAAAAGGATATATAAAATCTAAATCTAAATATAGAAAGTAAATTGTGAGAATTTAATAGCATTTAAATCAACTTACCGCGAACTGATCTATTGTCGTATTTTCCCAGCTTGGGTCTTGAGATTGAATCACCTCAACATCAGCTTCCCATGAAAGGTCTAGATCTTGAAAATCTCTTAGGTTTTGAACGACAACACTTGAATAATAATTAAGACCAAAGAAGTCTGTGGTGCCAGCGATATAATCCTTTTCTTCTTCAGTAAAAGCGGGAAGACGCGATTGTAAGAATCCCTGGACATAGCTTCTCTCGCTAATTAATATATCCATTTGATATGGATAAGAACCGAACATTATTGGGCTTGCAAACCATCCAAACTAAAAATCAAGTCAATTAAATAAATTTAAAAATATAAGCACATCGTTTTTCGGTGTTTTCTTGAAGAGGTATTAACGGTCTTGCTAATCACACAAAATAACCAAAAACAAATCTAATGAGCTCTTCTCAGAGCCTTCTTTCAGTTGCAACGCATCTAAAAACATGTATACATGTAATAAAATATGTATATGTATGTAGGGGAAAATGGTCTACATTCGGCCATATGAAACATTTGGCTACTCCCAATATATCCGATTTACGTTTGAATTTACGTTTGCTAATCAATATTCCTAAATGTTGGATTGTTATAGTCTTCCAAAACAATTTAAAGCTCAGCTTAAAAACTGTGTGTGACAGCTTAGTATCCATGTGTTTTGAATAGAACTGTTCTACACTGGGAGACATGATGTTTTCTAAATTTTTTAGATAAGTCTACCCAACAAACCTGCCATCAATACGCCATACCATTCCCATTGCTCTAGACCAAATCGATCTCCATATATTGACGCTAAAATGAGCAGCTGCTCGATATCTATCAACATCTAGAGGATTAAATCTTTTATTATTTAGTCTATACATCCCAATTTTGGCCTTTTTAGAACATTGAAAAATTTTCTTATCTGTAAATATCACCCTGTCCCAAAAATCTTGATATTGTAGCTGATGGTTTAAATCAAATATAAGTCTTTATTGCTTCTGATGTAGTTTCAAGAGCCTGTTTTTTGCTGCAGTTTGGTACCTAAGATGCGATGCATTAATTCTACAACATGTTGTCTTTCTTTCTGGAAACTAAATCTAATCTAAAAGAAAAGAAGAATCTAAAAGAAATCCAATTTCTCCAAAAGCGATAGATATTTTTGGTCTTAGAAGGTTCTGGACCTTGCTTTCTTTCGAGAGTATTTAGTTCTCTTCATCTTTTATATTATTAAAAACTATGGTTCTGCTTATATAAAAATGGTTGGTTACGGCAGATAGTGACCAACCATCTTCTAATTTCGTTACAATTCTTGCTTTTAGTTCTTTGCTAGCATGTGGAGCAATTTTTTGAGATTGAACATAATAAGTTATATAAAAAATTTTAATATTTGGCAATGATAGTGAAAGTATGTAAATAATAAGTATTTATTCTTTAAAATACACTGCTCAATTTTCTACAAAATACGCTTTAAGACTCGTATCAGTTTTTTATGAACCAGCTGTACATAACTAAGGTTTTCGAATATACATAAAAACGTTTGGATCATGTGATATTTGAGTTTTTTGGAGAAAAAATTTCCAAAATAATTCACAAAGATTCAAATTTATATCGCTATCTTTAGATATATTGAAAAAAAAATCGGGCACTGAAAAAAAGCCGTGAAAACAACTATGTTTTTTAATTCGCCACTTACATTAAAGAACATCATTCTCTCAGCAGCTTCCTTATCCTCATCACTGTCAGATTTTGGTTCTGCATAAATGCTTACTAAAGAAATTCCTATTGAACCTATGGTAACAAAAATATTGTAAGAATTAATTTATAAAAAATAAATTGGACAGCGTTATGAACCACTAGACCAAACTCCAATAAATTATTTTAAGATATTTTTGACTTCAAAGTTTTCACTCTATTATAATTCAGTATAATGTTACAATAGTCTTAATTTTTTGTTTGGGACTTAGAAAATATTTGAACAAATTACAGCTTTCTGAGCATCATGAGATTCAACATTATAAAACTTATCAAATTCTTTTTTGCAATTATCCACACAAATCTTGTCCAAATACTTACACTTACAAAGATACATATGGAAGTTTTTTGATTCTTTACATACATTTCTTTGTGTAAAGTAACTCTTGTTTTGAATACAACTTTTTTGTTGATTCTCTATCTTGATTTAAGTACTTTATATTCTGCCATAGTTCTTCCATTTGGTCTTGGACGAATAGTGTTTAGAAGAAGAGAGAAACTTTTAAGTGAGCTGCCCACATGCCTAAAGAGAAAGGTATTTGATCAGTGCGTCCTCCCAGTCTTGACGTACGGAGCAGAAACACTTAGCTTAACAAAAGCAGCAGCTACCAAACTGAGAGTCACGCAGAGAAGAATGGAGCGGTCCATGTTAGGACTAACTCTGCCAGACAACGAAGACACCAGAAAAAGAACCGGAGTGACTGACATCATCGAAAAGATAGCCAGACTAAAATGGAGATGGGCAGGACACATAGCCAGAATGACAGATGGGCCATGGATAGAGAGGTTATTGGAAAGGAGGCCAAGGGAAGACAAGAGAAGCGTCGGTCAACCACCTACAAGATGGACTGACGATTTAAGAAGACTCAATAAAAACTGGATAAGAGCGGCGCAAGATAGACGAGGTTGGAAACATGAGGAAGAGGCCTATGTTCAGCAGTGGACTCTTGAGGCTGGATGATGAAGTCGCTTGGTCTAGTAATGAAAAATTCAAAATCCAGATTAAGAAGAAAAGCACTTGGTTTTTTTAAATATATCTGGTAACAGATTAATGGGATTTAGTCTGTAGATAAATTATGTTATTTCCCACCAGAAAGCGCCCTAATCTATAATTTAAGATAATGGCGCTTGGTCTAGTGATGCATAACGCCGTCCAATTATTCTTTTTATTATTGTAGTAGTAAAAAATATATTTTATTGTCATGATTATACAGAGCTTTGGGTTACTCTCAATTTATTTGCAGAGTAACCCAAAGGTCTGTATAAGAAAGTAACCCTAAGAAAAATGGAAAGAGCAATGTTGGGAATAACTAGAAGAGATATGGTACCAAATAGGATAGTAAAAGAGAGGACTAAAGTGACAGATGTCATAGAAAAAATTGCACAAGCCAAATGGAGATGGGCTGGACATATAGCACGTTTAAATGATAATAGGTGGATCAAAAGACTCATAGAATGGAGACCCAAAGAAGACAAAAGACACTGAGGCAGACCACCAAAAAGATGGATGGACGACTTGAGAAAAACAGTCGGAAATTGGATACAGAAGGCGCAAGATAGAGAACAGTGGAAGAACATGGAGGAGACCTATATCCAACAGTGGATGCAAGAAGTTGAGAAATGATGATGATGATGATGATAATGATGATGATTATACAAAGCACTGATAGTCTGAATTATCAACTGTGGAAATGAGTCTGATACGCCAAAATATTTGGCACGGTTTTAGAAAATATAACCTGCAGCTACAGGTACAATTTTAAGTAACAGATAAAAAATATTATTATCGCAGTAAGACTAATCGGTCTATAGTAAATAAAACAACTAAATAGAAAATCAATCACGATAGAAAAAGTTAAGACAACTGTGCAGTGGTATACTAAACTTACTCTCTATACAAAATACTTTACCTTTCTGTACCGGTTTGTATATATCATGATATATATGGAACGCCTTGGCATGGGCTTTGATAATATTATGGGCACAAATATAATCTCCAATACCACTAGCCTTCCTACCAGGCGCATGAGAACCTATTCCATAACCCAAAGTGCACATGAAAAACGCCTCGTTGAAAGTCAACCAATATTTGACATCGGCTCCAAAATTTTCAAAGCAAACTGCTGCGTACTCCACGTATCGATCAATGATCCAATCGGTCGTCCAACCACCCATGCCCTCCATCACTTGTGGAGTATCATAGTGCAGTAAAGTGACTATCGGTTCGATATCATTGTCTGTAAGTTCTCTGATCAGGCTTTTATAGTATTTAATTGCAGCTTTGTTTATTTTGTTTGTGTATCCTTAAAAAAATTTAAGTATATTAAATTTTAGAGGAGAATATTGCAACAATTTAAAAATAAAGTGAAACAGTATAGTTAAATTATAAAAGTATAATAAAAATTGTATTAAATTCTCATAAAATAACATACTCTGATGAAGTGTGGATCGGAACTATACGTAGTTTTAGGGGAAGAGACAAATCCTTGCTTATGAGGAGCTTTTTCATATTGCTAAATGCTGCTCTAGCTCGTTCTATTCTTGCCTTAATTTCTATGGTCTAAGGTACACATAAGATTCTATATGGTCAATTAGTATGTTACTTATCCGTAATTGTCGAGCAGGTTGTTGCTTTTTGCTTATCAGCATCCACTTTGTCTTCTTGAAGTTGAGGCTCAGGCCGTATTCCTCACTAACTGAATAAAGTCTTTCCATTACTTGTTGTGATTCGTCTATGGTACTGGCAAGGATCACCGTGTCGTCGGCATATCTTATATTGTTCGTTAACTCGCCGTTCATTTTTATGCCCTCATTTGCATTTTCCATACATTTGTTAAATATTTTTTCGGAATACATATTGAATAGGAGTGGGGATAATATACACCCCTGACGGACACCTCTTTTGATCTGCACGCTTTCAGTGAGTTCGTTGCCAATTTTCGCTTTTGCTGTTTGACCCCAGTATAGGATTGTCACAATTCGAAAATCCTTGTCGTCAATACCTGTCTTTCTCAGAATACCTATCAATTGTTAATGATTGATATTGTCAAATGATTTTCTAAAATCTACAAAGCACAAATACACGTCCTTATCAACGTCTCTACACCGCTGTATAAGCACCTGGAGAGCGAAAATTGCTTCTCTAGTGCCAAGTGCTTTCCGAAAACCAAACTGCAAACTTGTTGTTCTTGTTTGTCCTAATCTTTGCTTAGTTTCTTTCTCTGTTGTTGCCTGTTTCGTGATTATAAACCCCAAGTATTTGAATTTATCCTTTTCTTTGATTGTTACGTTGTCGTCACCCTGTAGATCTTCGATATCTTCTTCAGTTGTAGATAGGTACTGCCATGAAGCCTGCCAGATCCTTCCCGATTTTGCCTTTTATCGCTTGCTCAATCTTTCCTTGCAGTATCTTCAAATATAATTGTCCTATTGACGATATTATGCTTATTTTTCTATAGTTTTCGCAAATAATAAACTATTTAAAAATGTCTTTTTTTATCAAATAATAGTTTTGGTATTTCACATTTTCTACAACGGTTTATTTTATTTATTTAATCTACCAACTTTCACTATTTGCTACCAATCCAAAAACTCTCCAGTGTTACTTTTCAGTAAATAGTTTTTGCAATTAGTGTTTTGATTTTTTTTCATGTTTTGAACAAAAAGTCTTCAAGAAACAAAAAAAAATTATTAAAATGAAGAAATTAATACAAGATAGTTCTACAAAGCATTTAGTTTTATGTTTATGTTAATGTGTATGTGTAAAAAGATAACTTAAATCCAAAAAAAATTGAATACATTTTGTTAATCTAACAGCTATTCTTTTTGAACCATTGAATCACTCTGTACTCTATATAGGATTGTTTTACCTGTTGGGAGAATTCTTGACCATGATAAAGAAAATCTGTAATGCTTGACTCCTAAATATTTTAACAAAGCCACATCTTCTTTCATTTTATGGTACGAATCGCAAGCTATATCTCCTGTGTCGTTGTTTGCAATAGGTGATGGTATTTGATGAACAAAATGATCCCAGTTGCTTTCTCCTTTACCATCTTCATTCCAGGCACCTAAATGTAAAGAGTTAATGTTATTAATTTATGCAAATTATATTAAAAATACCTTAAATTATTGACGATGGTTGCTCTGAAGCTAGAAAAATTATTCTTACCTTCAATTTGGTACGTGGAAGTACCCACTCCGAACATAAAATCTTTTGGAAACCTCTTCTTGTTAAGTACAATATCACCAGCACTAAAAAATATGGATTGTTTAATTATTATTAGGAGGCTTCTTGAATTGAAATCAATCTTTGTTTAGGTTAGCCTTCAAAACAATTGTAATCACTAAAATTGCATTCTACAAGGTTAATTATGTTTGTAGTTGACTGCGTTTTTAAGCATTGTGAATGATATTACCCAGTATAGTTTAGTCTTTGGAGGAAAATAGAGAAACCTACAGAGGTGGTAAAGCTACTTGTAATTGTTGAAATGAAAAACAAGGATTTAAGATTATGCTTAGACATTAAGTATCTGAACAAAGATATTAAAAAAGAATACTTTTTAATTCCTACAGTAGATAAAATTGCTGCAAAATTGTGTAACAAAGAGTATTTTATATAAATATCCTTCCTATATTATTATTCAGTTTAAGATATAAAAGATTGGTACTTTTAAATTTTAATTGATGATCAGAGTGTATATTATTGTACATTTAGCACTACTTTTAGTAGATATCAATTTTGTCGTTTACCTCTCGAAATTTGGTTTGCCTCAGAAGTTTTTCAAACAAAAAATTATAAAATATTTGGTGACCTGGTAAGGTTTTTATTTTGATCATTTGAGTACTACAAGTGATAATGAGGCAGATCATAAGCAAAACCTTCGCCTAGTACTGGAAAGAGCCATTAAGCATAATTTTCGATTTGATTGCTGTTAAGTAGTGTTAAATTTTTTGGTCATATTTATTCCAAACAAGGTTTTAAATTAAATAAGGCATATGTAAAATATATTATAAAAATATTAACACCTGATATTAAATCTAATCTGATCAGAGCATTGGAAATACCAAAGTTTTGGTCCTAACATGTCAAAAGTCACAGCTCCATTACGAGAACTAAAAAAACTATGTTCCTTAGTACCGGTAATGGTACTTGGTACTGCCAGTAAAGATGGTCTAGGTGCTTGTTTGCTGCAAGGTGGCCATCAAGTAGCATTTGTATCAAGAAGCTTTGAGTACAACTAAGCAAAAATTAGGGCATGGTTAGGGCGAAGATAGTCTTAAACATACAGAAGGAAAGAAGACATATGGTAACAAGGACTAATAATGTTACATTCACTGCGATTACTAACACCAGGGCATACCAGGAAGAAATAGAGAGTTATCTACAGAAAGACCTGCAAGATGAAACCAGTATTGAACAGCTTAACGAAAAATTGGTAGAAGCCCTGAAGAAGTCACAGAAGAAGTGCCAAGCCAAGCACTCAACAAAAAATGAAAAACTCACAGAAGACACAAGAAACCTAATGCAAAAAAGAAGGGAAATGAAGAAAAGCATACAACGAACATTGCAGAGCTAAGGAATTTAAACAAAACCATTTCAAAAGCCATTAGGAAAGACATAAGGAACTTTAACACTAAGGAAATAACTGATACCGTAGAACAAAACAAAAGCCTAAAAGTTCTAAAACGAAAGTTGAAAATAGGAACGAGGAATATTTATAAGTTAAAAAATAATCAAATACATGTCATACGTGAACAACAAGAGATACTAAAAATCATCGAAGAGTACTATATAACATTATATAGTCGAGATGATCACATTCCCGAAGTAGAAATTCCAGCAATACTAAATCAAGGGTCAGAGGAACTTCCAGATATAACCGAAGAGGAAATTAAGTTAGCATTAAAAGGTATGAAGAACAACAAAACACCTGGAGAAGATGGCATTGTAAGTGAAATGATAAAACTAGGAGGCGAATGCGTCATAAAGGCTTTAAAAACCCTTTATAATGCCTGCCTCTTTGAAGGAAATACGCCAGAAAAATGGAATAATGCCATTATGATAATATTGCATAAAAAAGGAGATGTAACAGAAATTGGCAACTACAGACCTATCAACTTATTATCTAATTTATATAAACTCTTTATGAGAATAATTACTAACAGACTGGGACCTAAGCTAGATTTTCATCAACCTCTAGAGCAGGTCGGATTTAGAAGTGGCTTTGGAACAAATAACCACCTACAAGTAATAAAATCCTTGATAGAGAAAGTTATAGAATACAACAAGCCATTGATATTAATATTTGTAGACTTTGAGAAAGCATTTGACTCAGTCCAGCATAGCTCCATGTTAAGAGCTCTTACAGAGTGCAGTATTGACCATAGGTACACAACTCTTCTTCGAAATATATATGATAGCGCAACAGCTGCTGTAAAAATGTACTATGGTGACACAGACACATTTCCCTTGGAGAAAGGTATTAGGCAAGGAGACACTATCTCTCCTAAACTATTCACCGCCCTATTACAGAGTGCTATGAGAAAAAATAATTGGGAAAATATTGGATTAAATATATATGGGGAATTTTTGAACAACTTGAGGTTTGCAGACGACATAGTCCTTATTGCAGATCAGGTAGATCATGCATGCCAACTTCTTCAAGACCTTCAGAGCTCTTGTGCACGAATTGGCCTTAAAATTAATTTTTCCAAAACACAATACATGACCAACATGGTACTGGCAAAAAACATTTCCACTAATGGCACGCAAATTGAACAAGTGTATTCCTATAAGTATCTGGGCCACGAGATTAAATTGGGAAGAGACAATTAAATAACAGATTTAAAAGGGAGAATAGGACTGGCATGGGCAGCTTACGGAAAACTGAGGGAAGTCTTTAAATCAGCTATTCTCATGTGCTTGAAGAGAAAAGTTTTTGATCAGTGTGTACTTCCAGTTCTGACATATGGAGCAGAAACATTGACACTTACCAGAAAAGTAATTAATAAGATACAAGTGGCACAGAGAGCGATGGAGAGGTTAATGTTGGGCGTATCACTCAGGGACAGAGTTTCGAGTCAGATAGTAAGGAGAAAAACTGGTGTGACGGACGCAGTTGAAAGAATTACAACCCTGAAATGGAACTGGGCAGGACATGTTGCTAGAGTCAGAGATGGAAGATGGACAAAGAAAATTTTAGAGTGGAGGCCTAGACAGGATGCTTATCGTAGTCGAGGACGTCCTCCAATAAGGTGGTCGGACGATTTAAAGCGCATCCAGTCTAACTGGATTCAAGTTGCTCAAGATCGGATGCAATGGAATTATTTACGGGAGGCCTATGTTCAGCAGTGGACGCAAAATGGCTAATGATGATGAAGCAAAAATTGTCACAAAGTGTTTGTTAGTTATGATCACAAACCACAAGAATCAATAATTCGTAAAGATTTATGCGCAATATCTACACGCTTGCAAAGAATGCGTTTACGATTATTGGATTATTACTTAAATGTAGTATATAAACCTGGCATGTCTGTGTACATTGTAAATACATTATCGCGAGAATTTTTACAAGAAGGTCGTCTAAATTCAGATGCTGAATTTCAGTTTGCAGTTCATGCTGTAGTAAATGATGTAGCTATATCTGATGCTAGTAAATCAGAGTTTAAAGCAAAAATACAAAACCATGAATAATTTTAAACTGTTATAAACTTATGTTTACAGGAATGGCTAGAACACCAGCGTGATGTTCCACAGATAGTTCAATATTTTAAATTCAGATGTTATTTTATGATAACAGTATGATTACGCCTAAAACCTTAAGATATAAAATGTTGAGGCTGGTCGATGACGGTCAAATTGGTATTGAGAAGTCAAAAACTATTGCCAGGAAAATTTTTTACTACCCAAGATTGAGCTGTGATATAGAGGCTTATATCAAAAATGAAAAACTTTTGAAAAATTTAGACCAAAGCAGCGACAGTTGATAACGAATACTTTAAATTGATAGAACTAAAAAACAATGTAGAAAGAATTAGGAGTTAACGGGAGTTAATAGGAGAATCGATGGAGGATAAATAATATGAAATAGTAAAGCTACAAAGCCAATAATATATCCAATATGACGTATACAAAAGCTAGAAAAATAGTTAGTTTGTAAAATAATAAAATCTCATCATTGATTATTGATTTAAGCTAATAAAATTATATTTCTTTGAAGGGAGGATGACATTAAAATACTAAATAAATAAATATTTACTTTATACTTGATAAAAAATAAACGAATAGAGAACCAATTAAAACAAAAACAAACAATTAAACAAATAAAAAATTATATATACGAATAGATGAAGCAAATTTTGATAAAAGGAGAGATATAAAATAAGTACCAACATCATAAAAAACAAACAAATATTTGCAAAAGTTTTATCTTTTTTATTAAAATTTAGTGGTAATAAAACTTTAGAGCCATAATTCTGGTCACAATTATGGTATGGAAATATGAAAATATAAAATATGTGATTTTATAAAAAAAACTTACGTGATACCAACTAATAGAAAAGTTATCAACATATACTTGAGACTCATGACTGTAGAGAATTTCCTAGTCAATTCAGAATAATTCGCAAATATATAAAGGTGAATGATAATAATCGTAACTTTTATCTTTCAAGTGGAAAGATATTTAATTAAATAAAATTTTTATATTTTATATCAATTAGTAAATTAAAAAATTATTTAGTTTATGTTGGCATAGCAATGAAATAAATATAACAATAAAATATAATATAATATAACATAAAATGAATTTCCATCAAATAACGGTCGAATCCATCAACTAAATAAATATAAATCAGTTCCAAATAAAATAAAGAAAAAATAGATTACATCTTGCCCACAGAAAGGTTTTAATAAATTACTAAGGTAATCAATAAGAGATCAATATTAATAAGGACTGTTGCGTTCTGCACATACGATGGCCTTAATATAACAATTGGGGTCATCCTGAAGGGGGAGAGAAGATATTTTGTTCAATCTTGAACTCGCTGGTTTTCCCCCTTTCGAAATGAGTCTGTATATTAAACTAAAGAAAAGAAATCAAAGCCAGTGGACTGTATAAAACTCTATTTAAAAAAGCAATGAAATAAAAACATAAATATACATTACCACATACAATTATAATTAAAGAAGAATATATTACATTAAAGAAGAAGAATATATTACAAACTTTACTATTATCTACTATGAAACACATTAACAGACACACCGAAAGACAACCATAAACCAACCAAAACAAAAATATCGATTCTATAAAAAACCACTGACAAAACAAAAAACAAAACCTACCATAGCCGCAAACATACTATACATAAAAAGATAAAAGCCAAATTAATAATCTTACAAAAAAATCAAGCTAAATAAGGATATAATATTTTAACGTTGTAAAAACAAATTAAGAATGCGGTGCATACAAATAATTAATAAGTACAATTATTAAAACAAAACATACAAGAAATAAAATCGGTGTTAACAAAATGGACAAAAAAATTTACAATACAGTAAATAAACTAAAACCAATGCAAAATGTCCAATTAACAATGTTCAATCTCGATCGCGGCACAAATACGATGAAGTTACAAATATCAAAAAAATATACCAAGTGCACGTACTTGATATATGCAGCAACAAATTAATATGGTGTATTGTTTCTTACCCCATGAAAAAGATAGCCCCAACGCTATCGCAAATCATGTCTTCAGCGACACTTCAACTACCCACGTTTGTGATGCACATTAGCGTCTTTCTTGGCCGATGCGGAATCAGGTACTCTTCGTCTTCACATTGTTCACATACACATGTTCATCGTTTGAGAGATACTTTTCGACTCTGGTTTTGTATGGAACGCAAACCCTTATTTTAGGTACACACACATGTGCTGATATTTCGCAGATGGCCCGCCTTGCAATCTTTAACCCTTAAAACGGCTGTGTCACTTACAGGCAAATCTGGTTTAAAATATACGAGGAGAATATGAACTATTAAAAAGTCTGTTAATACATTTACAAATGTTTATATACAGTTGCCAAACTGCAACAAGGACATAAAAAATTTAAAAAGAAACCAGAAAAAAAATTCCAGCTTAAAAACAAAAAGTAAACAATATCTGCAAATGCATTGATATATTATATGCAATATAAAATGTACCACACGTGTCATCTTCTATGAAGTTCCAGTATGGTGTTCTATGGCAGAGACCAAGTTAAAGAGACTTGTGAGAACAAAAACGGGATATTATTGAGGATTCGTCATGACAAGACCGAGTTTCAAATGCAACCATCCAAAAACGGCTCCAGTACACACCTCTGAGAAAGGAGTCGAGAGTAGAACAGGAAAATTGTTCTATCAAGCACAAGAAGGCTTCTAAAGACCAGAGATATCCTTAACAAATTGTTTGATTATCCATCTAATAAGAGTCTAGTAGATAGATACTATTATAAAAATAGTACCTACAGATACAGACGTCCTGGAGTCCAGCTACATAAAAAATATGGTACCCAAATGAAGAGGTTCATTTTTTTATCATATGGAAATTAAAACACATTTGGAACAAAATGACAAACACTCGTAATATTATTGCCGTGAGGCGTCGATAGAGCTTGGATGGCCCATATCTGGCTCAGCGGTCTTTGTTCGATCCTGGGAACTGGATCGGGAGGTAGTGCGGGTGTCTACCATCTTCTCGAGGTGTGGTCCTCGGGTTTGTATGTGTAGAATACAAATACAGGTAAAAACACTGGCTCGTGTTTGATCCTTATGGAAATATCACAAGCCAATGAGGTTGTATACGTTCAAAATAGTATAAGAACAATAGAAAAACAGATATATGGTCTTTATATACAAATGCAGTATAGATAATATAAGAAATAACCAAAATTGTGAATAAATGAAAGATTGTGTGCACCAATCGAAATACAATATTGTATAATAAATGTATGAACATAGGGTGGTATCTCTTGACTTACGGAAGAGATACCGATACAAGTCTGATGCCTCCTTGACTTACGGAAGGAGAAAAAGAAGCAAAGCAATAATAAAATAGCAATGGAAAATAACGGTAATAACAAGATACGTAAACGTTTCAGACGCTAAGCCTCGAAGAGGTTTCCGTAAGAAACATACACAGTAAATCAAAATAAAGAAAGATTGTCAAGCGTTTCACTTACGCAAGAATATATCTCTCAACGAAACAAATAGCACAATAAAATGGCAATAAAATAAAGAATATGCGTATGTTCCAAACGCTAGGCCTCGAAGAGGTTTCCGTAAGAAACATACAACAGTAAATAAAATAAAATAAAGAAAGATTGTCCGACGTTTCACTTACGCAAGAATATATCTTTCGACGAACAAATAGCACAATAAAATGGCAATAAAATAAAGAAATATGCGTACGTTCCAAACGCTAAGCCTCGAAGAGGTTTCCGTACAAATCAAAAATATGTATATATGCACACAAATATATATAACAAGTAAAATAAGGTACCGAAGAGACTGTCTTGATAAAGACTGTCGATTTCTTACGTGACAAGTACCAGAAAAGTGGGTATTTTCTCCGTGTATGATCATACGAAATATCACAGCGAAAATACAACAAAATACATGAAAATGCACACAAAAATCAATAATAACAATATATCAAAATACAGGTAAAAGCAAATAAAAGGTCAGATTCTAGGTGGATGTATAAACACCGTACCTAGAGTCTTCTAATACGAGGGTAAGCTCGAACTGGCCGATTACAGAAAATCCACCTTCTTTTATACACGAAAATCCTTTGTTCTAAAGGATTATGACGTAGGAAAGTGGACTTCCCGTAGAATCGGCCAATGGGAAATTTTAAATTGTTCAAAAGTTGGAATAACCCCTATTCCAACCAATGAACAATTTTTCCCATGTCAGGAGATGTTCCTCGTCCGCTGATTGGTGCGTTAATGAACGCTCCGGAGAACAATATAAGCATATAACAATTTTCAAATAGTTACAAACAAACATCAAGTGTGATAATATAGTCAATTGACTCTGAAGATGGAAATAGGAAGTCTTTAGGGCTACCATTGTAGGATCTTGAGATACTCTCTGCAATAATGTGGTCGTTGGTTTTGTTCTCCTCACAGTCACATTGAGGAGACGCGTTCTTTCCCAATTTATGTAGCATGTATACACATCTGCCATGTCTGGTTCGGATCCTATTTGAATTTAAATTTGAATAAATATGTGCTGAATAATTCGATTTAAAATATATAATAGCTTGGCAGTTATCATCATTTTGCGAATGAATTGCACTTATATTTTTTTAGTTCTTATTAAGTATAAGTCGATTGCCTTTCGAAACTTGATTGATTACATCACTATTTTTACCAATTAATACGTACTTCATATCACCAGGTAAATCGTTTTCTTGTCTCTTAATTTTCAATAGTATACGGCCCATATATGTTTGTAAAAAACGTAACTAGGAAGAGAAAGGCCTGAAGATTGACAGTAGAAGATTAACAAATTTAAAATTTGCAGACGACATAGTTTCCTTTTTGGGACAACCCAATTTCCTTTTGGAGATATGACGTACAATGCTACCTGAACTTCAGTTAGTGTGTGCCAGTTTGGGTATTAAAATAAACATCTTCAAAACAAACATATTTAAAAGCTATATACCAATTTCTTTAAAACGTAAAACATTTGACCAATGTATGTTGTCGGTGATGACCTTTGGTGCCGAAACTTTTACATTGACAGTTACAAATTCTAAAACGCTGCAAATAGCTCATGGGAAAATGGAAAGGTCAATACTGAGTATATAGCTTCGTTACCAAGTTAGAATTAAGACGAAGAACAGGAGTTACCAAGGTAATTTCCCGAATTGCTACACTGAAATAGAAGTGAACCAAGTACGTCGCTCGAATGAATGATGAAATCTGGACGAAGAAATTTCTTGAGTAGAGGCCGAAGCTGGACAAAAGAAGTAGAAAAAGACCTCCGTTGGACTCGTTGGACTAACGATATCAAGAATATGTCAAGAAATTTAATGAAAAGTGCTCAAGGATAAAATAAGGAAGAGCTATGTCCAGCAGTAGACGTAAAAGCCTGGATGATCATGATGATGATGACGGCCCATGACAAAATGGTGAACGCTTAAGAAGTTGTCGCCGGTAAAGCAGATTGAGGAATATTATTTCTTCATCAGATGTTTGGGTGTTTCTTTAAGCGTATCAAAACCTCAAGCAACGTATTTGAGACCTCAAGAGCTAATTTCATCATAGGCATACGTCCTATGGCATTGTAGCATATGCCATATGTGATTACACTTTTAAGTATGGTGTTGTATATGAGTTGTTTGTTCGCTTTAGATATTGTTTCGTCCCACAGAATGCCGTTTATCATGGATATGGCTCTTCTACCCTGTACGTTTCTGTCTTTTATAGCAGCATCGAGTGTTCCATCTTGAGTTATCTTCATACCCAAGTACTTGTATTTATCACAGTTTCTAATTTCTACCCCATCGTCTAATATAATGGATTGATTTGTCCCTCCAATACACATGGCTTCAGTTTTCTTAATGTTGACTTCGAGACCTTATTTTTTA